AGGAATCTGTCAAATTTTGGTTATCCAAGTAGAATAATTGGAGAGAATTGTTTTGTGAGCTTGGTTTGGTCAGTCATATGCCCTGCATATTAAAGCTAACCTATAAACAGGTGTCAGAAACCTGTGAGAAGAAGCTCAAACTAAATTATCAATGTACCTCAAGAGTCACAGAATTAAGTCTTTCAGCAAGATTTTAACTGTTTGGGAATCAAGTTAATGAGACCTCTTCGGTGTCCCTCTTCGTTAACTTTCTTTGCAGGAAAAGGAGCTATCAGTGTGAAAACTGTGTTTAAGTAGTATGCCTCTTTTTGTTAAATGTTTAGAATCCTGACAAGGAAATATGGCAGGGGGTTTTCTATTCAAGAGGAAGAGGAAATGGGGAAAGAGGTGAATTGCATAAGCCAAGCAAATGTATAGGAAACAAGTGACATCCTCTTAAAGCCTAGGATTTGCATTTGTTTTGAGGTATAGGTGGTGACTTTATTCTTTTTAGCACTATCACTTTATCCACGTCAAGTGTACAAAATCTACAGAAAAATAAAAATATTAATACTCAGTAGCATTTCCAGGAGTAACTGCTTCAAGAGTTAATACCTTGTTTTGTGCAGTGTACTGTAATGCAATTAGCTTTTGTATCATGGCTTGCTGCTTTTTAAAATGCACATGGCAGTTCTTTCACTGTGCTTCAGAAAGACATTGCCAACCACTGGTAACTTCTTGCATGCCTGACTTAAATGGAAGCATCCTGCACGTAGGACTTCTCTCTTAGCTCCAGATTTTCAAGAGATGAGGACCTTATCTCCTTCTGTGATTGTAGGAACATGTATGCCCTAACACTGACTGTTCAGTGTCTGCAACCTGAAGTCATAAGGTCTGTGAGTTAAACCTCAGTCTTTGTGGTGTAAATGTCCTGAAACTGCAAAAACAACAGTGTGAGGATGCTTTTTTGCATTGTAGATGTAGCAGCAGTTTTGCAGACCATCAGCACATAGGCTTTCTAGTGTCTAATGTGTTTTCTTGACTTGAAACTGACATCCAGCCTAGCAGTGCTTGTTTATAACAATGAGGAAAAAAATGTGCTTAGTTTAGTTTGGCTCAGGCAGAGGTATGAAAAAGGAAGAGGAGAAACATCTGCAACTGTTACAGCATGTTTGAATTTAAATAAAACCAGATAGGAGCAAGGAACAGGCAGCTTTCTTCTTTAAATAAAAGGAAAAAAAAAACCTCACAAACAATCAATAAACCAAATTTTAAGGGACAACTGTGTGTTTTTTTCAAGATACAGATAACAGAAGAGAACACTGAAAGGAATGAAAATAGCCATTTCAGATTAGTTGTAGAAATTACTGTGCTGAGGTTTTGTTTTTTCCCCCCTCTTTGAGTAAGACTCTGCCAAGCTGCTCGGAGAGTCAAAAGCTGTTGTTTATGGCTCTCTGCTGGGAAGGAGGTTAATTAGTATATGCCGTGCAGAAATCAGAAATATGCTGCAGAGCCAATCGGCCGCAGTTAGAAGACGCTATTGTTGCAGTGCTGGCGGAGTGATTGATGTGGGTGCTGCCTTAGGGACGGTGGCAAGTCAAGTTTAAAAGTCCAAGGCTCCGCCTGTGCCCTTTCCCCTACTTTGCTGGCGAGCACGTGGCAGCGCAGGAATGCAGCGAGGGGAAGTGCACCGCGGTTTATGATTAAATTGGCCTTTAAGGAGGAAAACAAGTGTTCAAAGCAGCGGACTTCGGGAAGCCTTTGGTATTCCGCCATCATAATTCAGGGCGGTTTTAAAGGCTTATGGTTTTCTTGAGTAAAGGAAAAGAATATGAAAAGAAACAAGCCGTTTTATTGTTTCACCTCTTAATGTCAAGCAGCACAGCCCTAGAACTGGACTGTATTTGTTTTCAGGGCTCACTTGCTTGATTCAAGATTAATTCTTGCTGGGTTAATTTTTTTTTTTTTTTCGTTTGGGAATAAGGAATATTTTTCTTAATGAAGCTTATTTATTTTTATGAGAATGCTAAATTTTAATTCATTAAAATGTCAAGTTGACTGTTAATGCTTGATGTTATTTATAATATTTTTCTGCCTTGGACAGTAAAAAAAGCATGTCCTTAAAAATTAAAGGGTTCCTGAAATTCTTTCCATTCGGAGACAAAGAGGAGGTTAATTACAAATTTTCAGGCTGAGAAGTCACAGGGGAGTTGAAGGGTAATGGAAACTAGCTGATCTTGTACTTAAGACACTGGCTTTGCAGAATACAAAATTCCCTGAGTGACCTGAGCAGAACCTGTTTGCCCTCCTTGAGACAAAACTAGGTGCCCGATTCTCTGTATGCAAATACAGTTGAGTTCTTGATTTGTGTTTTTTGGGGTTATATCATCCCAGTCTTAATAGTGCCACTAAACATATGATAAATTCTTAGCTTTGAACTCTTTTGCAAACCCTGTTGAGTTCAGGTTATACCCTGTGTTACTGCTGCCTCTGCCTGTTTTATTGCTGTCTTGTCAGCTGGTGATGAACGACTTAAATGAATGAATGGACAGCTGACTTTGACTTCCTCATGCTTGCCTGCAGCAGAGCCCTTATAAGTAGTTGTTAGTGACAAGAGTCATTTAGTACTACAAATTGCAGTTGTTACTCAGCCACACGGGGCTTGTGCTAAAGCTTTTGAAACTGGTTTTCAAGCTGGTTTTTGTTCTTCTCATTTGTTATTCTTCTCTTCTTTGTTATTCTAATCAGACACTACACACACATAAATCAATTGCATACTATCTGTAGGATACTGTGAGCTTTAGGTGCCTTGATTCACCCAGTGAAACCTGAGCAGTGGCTGATGGATTTACGAGATCCATGAATTACCATTAGGAACTAGTAGTAGTTGTATTGCAGAGGTGGATCACTGTAGGCTGGTCCAGGAGCAGGCACATTAAATACTGCAAAGAATCCATGCCTGTTGGTCAGCAACCTTAATAGATGATGTACAGCAGCACTTACCTCATTCATCTCTGCCGAGTATTCCTTCTCTATGTTGTGTATTTATTTCCTGAGCTGATTTCCAAGTGCCTGGTTGTCTACTCATGGACCTTGGCACCCGTTCTTTGTGTTTCGGATGACTTTGATTAAGTAGAGTATTTACAGACTAGAGGAGCAGCACTCTGGTCATAATAAACTGCTTTTGAAGTGCCCACCTAAATTGCACTGGTTAGTCCTTCCATGGTGTTCCACAGGGGATGGCAGTCTACCAGAAGTGAATTACTAGCTTTGGGTTTGCAAACAAAATGTAAATTTTAGCTTTTAGGACTTAAAAAGAGTAAAGTAGTTGTATTTATTTTTTAATTTTACTTACACAGAAATGCCAGTACAACCTTAAAACACTTGGTATTGATAATGTGTTTTGTACCAGTGAAAATTTCAATCTAAAACTTGCCCTTGAATCCTGACCTGCAAATGGGCTAATAAATTCCACTACCATTTAGTCATACTTCTAGGAGGATATTGTTTTTAAGGCTATGCATGAAAGTTTTGGTAAGCTAATAAATAAAGTTGGGCAAGTGACCAACTGGAATCATGATGGTCTCCTCAGGAATACATAGTTTTGACCATTTCAATGTTATACGTAGAGTCTGTCTGCAAAAATCTACTTTCTAACTATAAGTGCTCAAAAAGCATTAGTCTGAATCAATAATTAGTAGGAGTAACTTCCAGGGTGTTTATGTATAAATGCTGGTTACAGAAACTAAGAAAAGCTATGGAATTACCAACAAGTTTAACAAGGATAGGTGCCAGATCCTGCATTTGTGTTGGGACAGCCCTGGATGTGTGTACAGACTGGGGAAGGAGATGCTGGAAAGCAGAGCCACACAAGGGGCCCTGAGGGTCCTGGTTTATGGGAAGTTGGATCTGAGCCAGCAGTGCCCTGACAGCCAGGAGGGCCAACCCTGTCCTGGGGGGCACCAGGCCCAGCATCACCAGCCAGGCAAGGGAGGGGATTGTCCCACTCTGCTCTGAGCTGGGGCAGCCTCACCTCCAGTGCTGGGGGCAGTTTTGGGTGCCACAATATGATAAAACTCTTAGACAGAGTCCAGAGGAGAGCTGTGAGGATGGTGAAGGGTCTGGGGGGAGAGACGATACGAGGAGCAGCTGAGGTCACTCACTCTGCTGAGCCTGGAGAAGAGACTGAGGAGAGACCTCATTGCAGCTACAACTTCCTTGTGAGGGGAAGAGGAGGGCCAGGCAGGGATCTCTTCTCTCTGGAACAGTGACAGGACCTGAGGGAATGGCCTGAAGCTCTGTTGGGGAAGTTTTGGTTGGATATTTGGAAAAGGTTTTTCACTCAGAGGATGGTTGAGCTCTGGAAGTGGGTCCCAAAGGATGTGGTTGCAGCCCCAGGCCTGACAGAGTTGGAGAGGTGTTTGCACAACACTCTCAGGCACATGGTGGGATTCTTGGGGCTGCATTGGGTTTACATTTCTGTTTTAACTTCCAGTGGTTTTTGCTTGAGTCTTTTATGGCTGCCTGGTATGATTGTCTTCTGTCCATATTGGTATGGTTGTTGATATTTGTTTGGGCAGTTAAACTGAGCTGCAATTCCATGAAATTTCATCATAATTTCCGATTTCTTTGGGAAGGTAATTTTTCTGACTGTTGTGATTTGGTTTCCTCAACTCTGCATAGTTTTGATTTTTGCAGTTATTTGCCAGTCACAGCACAGAGCCACAGGGACTATAGATTCTTATTGCATTGAGTAATCTGAAATTAGAATATGAAAAGAAAATTGGAAGAGGATATGGCCAGAAGCCACATTGTTTTTCTAGTTGAGGTGAAAACTTTAGATACCTTTTGTTTCAAATAAAGCATTTTCTGAATCTTCTTTGAAATGTAAGATGCTCTGTACCTGTAATATGCTTTTTCTAAATGCTTTGGCTTTCTCTTTCTGTTCTGCTCTGATTTTTTTTATGTATTGAATGTACAGGTGATATGCAGCTGTGATGCTGCCAAAATGCCCAAGTTACATAAGTGTTTTGTTTCCATTGCAGCTGTTTTGGTTAAAAGAAGTGCCTTAAATTAACTGCCAGGACACTCAGCCTAAAGTGCAAGCAGAGCCTGTAAGGAAAAGGCAAGTACTATATGTAAGGTTTTTATACTTAGACGTCTTTGCCAAAATTGTGGTGTAGAAGATATCTTGCTAGAAATGGACTAGCTCCTAGTTCCTTTGGACAATAAGGAAATACTCCTTTTAAACTTTGTTTTTTGGCAGAACTCTCTCTGAAAATGGCGGAAGCTCATCAGGCAGTAGCTTTTCAATTTACCGTAACTCCAGATGGGATTGACCTGCGTATGAGCCATGAGGCACTCAAACAGATTTACCTATCTGGTGTCTATTCATGGAAGAAGAAGTTCATCAGGTTCAAGGTATGCTAATCTGGTCCAAACTTCAGGGTTATTTAATGTTTTATGAATTTACTGAAGTTTTTTCAGGGACAACTGATTTTTTTTTTCTTTCTTTATGGTAAATAAAGTTCCTCATTGTGAAAGATTTATGGGGGTTTTATTTAAGACAAGGGGTACTGAGGAAGTTGGCACAGGGTGATACTGTAAAGTCTGAAAGGGTACATATTATTCTGTGGAAGCAAGATGAAGCAGATGTAGAAATTTACTGACTTCATTCTCTTCATAATGTACCATGGAATTATATAATCTTTTAGCAGAAGTCAAAAATATGACTAGTTGTGATCTTTAGTGTTATATGTCTTAGAGGTACAAGGTTGCACTCTTTATTATAGCTAAGTAGTATTGTTTCTGATGGCAAAGAGATTGCCATGAATTTAGTGTTCTGTTCATGGGATTATAATTGTAAATATCTGTTTTGTGAATAGCAAACTACATAAGCTACAGGATATCTTCAACATCTGTTTCAAAAACATAAACATATTAACAGAAATCTTATTAAAATTTTCTTTAAAAGCCATGAGAAGAACTGTTTAAATTATATAAAATTATTAATTCTGGTTTTCAGTGTCTTGTTCAGTAAGATATTTTTGCCATATATTCATGTAGGAGAGTCTAACACAGTGTAAATTGAAATTATTGAAGTGTCATTTGTTTTAGGGTTGTTAGTTAGTTTCAGTATTTTCAGTAAGACTTGGAGATCACAGGATCAATGATGTCTACAAGAGAATGTAAAAGTTCCTTTCATTGTTGATATAATTGTTAAAATTTTCTGTAGTAACTTAAGTAAATCTGTTCCCTAGTCCTGAGATAATCACATGTAAGAAAACATTGGATAATCTTAACTACTTCTGTATAACTAAATGACTTAAATGTGTTGATTTTTGTTTCTTTCCATGGTAATATGAAGTCAGTCACTTTGGTATGAAAAAATTATATCGAGGCTTTTCTTTCCAGAATGGAATTATCACCGGAGTTTATCCTGCTAGCCCATCTAGCTGGCTTATTGTAGTTGTGGGTGTGATGTCAACCATGTATGCCAAAATTGATCCTTCCTTAGGAATAATAGCCAGGATCAACCGAACACTTGATACAACGTAAGTAGACTGAAAGGTGACTGTTACTCTGAAAGGAAATCAGTTTTATTGCAGGTACTCTTAAAACTATTCCTGTTGAAATACATCAGTTTTGGGACACTACGTTTGTGACATGATAAGCCAAATAAACAGATGTATGAGGATATTAAGTAGGGAGGTTGTTGTCCCAGTATTGCTGCATAGGTTTCTGGGTATTTGGGAAGCACATTTGGGAACTTTTATGGCCTTCGATGTTGCTGCATGAAAAGGTTTTTGGAAAGGAATTTTTGAAAGCAGGATAAGCAGGCATAAAGCTTGTCTAAGTCCTGTCTCTGCTACTTTTAGACTTAGGTTTGTAATACCAGCTTCTCTTTGGAATTTAAATGGACACTAACTGGCATATGCTGGCTTTTGTTTTAAATAGTGGCTATATGTCAAACCAAACACAGAATATTGTGAGTGGAGTACTTTTTGGCACAGGGCTTTGGGTTGCCCTTATCGTCACAATGCGCTACTCCCTGAAAATGCTGCTCTCCTACCATGGTTGGATGTTCTCTGAACATGGCAAACTTTCTGCTGGCACCAAGTTTTGGATGGTAAGGATATGTTGGTTTCATTTCATCTTCTGACTGATCAGTATTCAAAGTCTTAAAAGAAAATTTTGTAGTTTTATTCTTTTCTTGTGTTTTTTTGTGTCATGGGACAGGAGGCTGTTAGGTAGCTATTTCTCCTGTCACCCTTCTAATGCTGTAATGAAAGTATTCATCATGGCCTTCTAGAAGGAAAAGTAAACACTCCAGGAATAACTTCGGATTTGCCAATGCCTTGGTCCTGTGTGACTCAATACCTGCCTTTTCTCTATGTGCAAATACGGCTTAAAGAACTTCGGCTGCAGCACCGAAGAATCTTATCCTCAGAGAAAGTGTTCCCCTGATTCTTTGTTGTAATATTAGGATTTCTAGTCAGCCATTATAAAATTATTCTTATGCTTGAAGAAAATATTGTTGAATGTCTTTTCAACTGATTCATTGGTATGCCTCCAAAATGAGTTGGGGAAGAAGCATAAGGTGTAGGTAGCATGTTATGCAGTTTTCAGATAAGGGTAAAGTGAGATTGTGGTGCTTTGGAAAAGGATTCTTAAAGGATATGATAGGTATAAAGTGAGGAAATGTAGGTGTCAGTGCTGCAAGAGATGAAGTGGGGTTTTGCTACTCGGACTTGGTTGCTTCATCTCACTTCTGCCTGTATTGTGGTAGAAATAGCTTATTTTCTGTACCATGATAAAATTAGTCTCTGTGGCCTCAAAAATTAGCATGTTAAACTAAGCGCAGGTCATGATTTACTGTGGGAGATATTCAAGGACAAGTATCCAGAATGGTGTACAGTTTAAATAGAGTTTAATGTTTGTCTGTTACAAATGAAATTTCTAATTGATGGTTTCTCCTGGAAGCGGTATCAGCCTCATGGCTCAAATTGGTACAGTCCAGAGGCTCTGAATGGTAAGGCTTTCTGTCAATTGCTTGGAGCTGTAGCTGCCTTGGTTTTCAGCATGTCCTACCAGATAGATACTTCAAAGCTCTTAATATTGCCTTACCAACCTTAAAACAGTATGAACTGTAGTGCTGCTTACCATGCTTTGTTGCATATTGTATTTATAAATTTTTGTCCATCATATATGTTGCATATGTATTTTGTTGTGCATTGTATATGTTTCAAAAATGCAGAATACTGAAGATGTATGTATGTCCAACAATGTCTCATCTATACTTACTATGAAGGTCTATTTAACTAGACCCAGCAAAAGAGAAGTCTGGCTTCACTAGTGAAACAGCTCCAACTACTTTAGCTTTCTAGATTTTTATAATTCTGTTTTCTCTTCAAATGATCATGTAGATCAAAAACCTGAACTCTAATTTCAGTCACAGTACAAAGTGATTTTTCAGCCGGGTTGGAAGTCTAGTGACACTTTTAATCAGCATATTTCACCTTATAAAGTCAAATTTCCTGTATCACTGTTAGGAGGGAAATCCAAATATTAGTTACCATTTTAAAAAATCCATTTAAAAAGTTGTAATCGTGTGTGAACAGATGCAACATATGTTAGAATGACATTATTTGCTGTGTCTGCATATAAAATCAGAAATGTAATGAAATGTGTGTTTCTGTCAGAGCACTTTGTTGGTCTCAAGGTATTATAAATTCTCTATTACAAGTTTTCTTAAGAGATAAATGCTGTGAAATGTGTTTGCTGGTTTTTGTCAGTTGAGCAGTCACTCTCTTAAAATGCTTTTAACCTTTTCTGGCTTAAGAGTTTTGGAATAAAATTGTCTCCAGGTATGAAATTGAAAAAGCTGAGCTTTTTCTTTCCACTTGTTTCCAAAATTTTCTTGTCCTGAAGCAAAGCTGGATTTCATTTGGCAGATCACTGTGGTGCATCCCATGTACACCTGATGGCTCTGATACACATCCATTTGCAGGGAGATCTTTATTGCTAGTAATATTTTTCAATTCTTAGCTGTTTTGTGCTGCCTAAAATTATCTTCTCTAGCTGTGCTGAGCCAGGAAGCTGAGAGAGAGCAAAAGCTCTACATTCTAACAGGTTTGTTAGGAGAAGTTTTCAGAATTTAGTGGTGAAATGACGTTCTCTGTTTTATTCTATCTTGTCTGTTGGCTTATATATACTATCCTGTGTATTGGACCAAGATTACACTGTGACAGTAAAAGTTCCACTGGATTGTTGGTATAACACTTCACTTGACCTTCATGCTGAAATAGGGTGGCAATGTCAAAATCCTGTCATGAGTAGCCTAGAAGTTGCATGGTCTAGAATTTCAGCTTAGTGTGTGCTGCAATTGAAAAGTAATAGTGGACAGAAAAGCTGCTTTTGTTTTCACTCTCCTGTGGAAACAGGAGATTCTGTAATACCTGAAGCTAAGTTCTCTCTGGCTGTTTTGTTTCGTTGCTGGGGTTTTTTTGTAACACAAGCACTGAGTATAACACTGGCATGCTTGCACAATTTGGTATGTTCCAATCATGCAGTAGACTACCTGAGATTGATTCATGCTTGAATTAACTCCCTGTAACATCAGTTCTGTTATTGATGTTGAGATGTAACTTTGGAAAACATTAAACCATGATACAAGAGCATAATTATTATTTTGAAAGATTACTGTGGTTATCTAGAAATGTTACCTGAGTCACAGGCTTGATAATGATTGTGTTTTGAAGCACAATTTAGATACGTTTCTCATATCTACTATGTAATATAGTAAAAGGTCAGGCAGTAGACGTGGTCTTTTTCATCCTTCCAGAGGGGAATATATGAAGAAAAGAAGTGTAAGTAACTGTATTTATATTGAGATTGAGGTGTGCCCTACATAAGCAGCAATATTGTCTGTGACAGGTTGATGACTGGGAAGTCAGGAATGACCATGCCTGTCTTGCTCTTCCCCTGACACGTTGTTTAACCTTTAGGAAGTTAGTTTCTCCCAAGGCCTTTTTTTACTGGTGAAACTGTGATAAATATGGCAGCTTCCTAAATGTAGTACAGTATTATTTACCAGTGAGAAGGACTGTGAGGTACATTACACATTTACTCTGTCATTTTTCTTTCGTTGAACCTAATCATTTGGTGTGTATATTCTGTTTTTGCTCTTCTTCAGGCCCTTGTAAAACTTTTCTCAGGGCGTAAGCCCATGTTATACAGCTTCCAGACATCTTTACCACGATTGCCAGTTCCAGCTGTTAAAGACACAGTTAACAGGGTATGTACATTCACCAGTTTATTTTCTTCAGTAATGCAGAATCCATACCTAGATGCCTTTTGGGGTGTTTTTTGCCATGCCTCATGAAAAACTGCATAGTGAGATTAATATGGTGTAACAGATTCAAACTTCTGCATGGAAATTAAAACAGAGGCTGTGACAAACCAATGGAACTGGTGACAATTTGAAGCCAGTGAGATTCACATAGGATGACATGATGCCTATTGTTGCAAGGCTGTGCCACAAAGTGTGATTTCCAGGGTTTTTGAAGCACACCACTTTTGTTATCCTTCCCAGTTGTACAGCATTACTAAATGTGTGTGTTATAGCACAAAACCTTGTATTGAAGTGTGTAAATATGGCAGTATGTCACAGAAACTGAAGGTTTGATTTTTAGAGGAGAAAAAAAAGAAAAATCAGTCTGCTACTAAAGAAGCAGCATGTCTTACTCTTTGGAGTGGAAAATCTTCAGAGAAGTTACCTCTTCCATTTGTGTTTTGCTGACAAATGTCTTAAAATAATACTTTGTCTTTTGAAGCTTGCAGCAGAAGTTTAGAAGAGCATATACTCTTATTTTATAAACATGGTATTTACAGCCTTATGGATTGAGACTGGATAATCTTTGTTTACTGTTAAAGTGCTTTATGTAGGATTGGTGAGAAGCTATGCATTAGTTCCCATACTGATGCTGATTCTTTTCTTGTGTTCTAGTATCTGGAGTCAGTTCGACCACTTATGGATGATGAACAGTTCAAAAGAATGGAGGGTCTTGCCAAAGATTTTGCATTTAATTTGGGGCCAAGGCTTCAGTGGTATTTGAAGCTAAAATCCTGGTGGGCCACTAATTATGTGAGTAGATAAATAGGAGGCTCAGTTGTTCAAATTACGTTATTTGTTCTCTGGTGCTTTTTTTTGGCTTAAATTCCATTATTTCTTAAATGTAAAATAAGGAAATTGAAACTGCTTAATATTTTTTTAAACTACATGAGACTTTCTGTGTAAATAATTTGTGTGATTTGGTAAACAGTGTGGTGAGCAAAGGTGAATTAAACTTGAAAAAAATGAATCCTTATTTTGCATTTTGTTATTCTGGAAAATTTTGCTCTTAAAATTGCTTTTGGGGTTTGTTCATTTGCTTGTTGAGCTTTATAACTCAATAATGGGCTTGGCTACCCAGGTAGTTTAGAAAAGTGATTTAGAGCAATTTTTTAATATAGAGCAGCTAAGGCATATATAAGAAAAACAAAGAACTGTATCAATTGAGTTGTTGGTCTATCTTTTCTTTTTTTCTTTTCTTTCTTTACAAAAAAAAAAAAATCCAATCCTCAATGTTATAGTGAGAACTATAATGTTAATTCCTTCTTGGTATGTTATTTAACATAACATACCTGTACCCCAGTAGCCTCATCTGCCCTGATAAAGACTGTAAAACATTCAGGAGACCTGATGCATTTTAAATATTTTGTGGAGATCATGATTTCTTTGAAACCTTATCAGAGAGATACAGCTGAATTTAATTTGGTTCTCTCACCCTTTTTTCCTGTTTTCCCTGAAGTCTGATGGAAATTAGTGAGGCGGGGGTTATTGTCTTTATTAAGTAGGGAGGCAAACCTGCAGTTTCCTTCCCACTTCTGTATGGAATGTTGTCTTGTGGAGCCATTAACACAGAAGACATAAACTGTGGAAATGATGAGATTTTACTGCTCTTGTTTTTCCTTCCTGCTGCAGGTTAGTGATTGGTGGGAAGAATATATCTACCTTAGAGGACGTGGACCAATCATGGTTAACAGTAACTATTTTGCAATGGTAGGTAAATCCTATAAACACCTTATATGCCAAGCACTGTAATGTTTATGGCAGGCATCTTACTTCATGGTGTCATTCTGCTTAGAAATCCATTACCACTGAGCATGTAACCTTTGTTTTCCTTTCTTCTTGTATAACCTGCAGCAGGTGTCTCCAGGAGCCTTCAAGTATGCCACATGCTTGAAGTACTTCAAGTGCACCTGTCTTAACAGCTCTAGCACAGCAGCCACTTTGGCAAACTCATGCAGCAATGACTTGAACAGCTTTCTCCCTGCTGTAAAAAGCAATCTTCCAAAGCTCCATATAAAACTTCTTGGGTAGCACAGCTGAAGGAGGCATGTGCTCATATTAACAAATGTACGTACAGGAAGTAAAATTGTAAAAGGCTGAAAAATGAAAAGGAAAATAAAAAAGGAATATGATGGTCTTGGGTCAAGTTTTATGTAGCACTGTCTTTTCTACTCAAATGATTAATAATGTTTAAGGAGATTGTGACTGCTGAAGAAAAGTTTCATCAGCTCACTGCACTTGTGCACTTAATAAATTTCAAAGCCTTTTCTACATTGTCCAGAATAAACTTTAAAGAACATGGATGGGAAGTTCTATCAGGTTTATCTTTCTTTTAATGTAGCCTGGTAATCATTAACTTATGATTCTTATTTGCATTACAGGACTTCCTTTCTTTATATCCCACAACCCTGCAGGCAGCTAGAGCTGGTAATGTTATCCATGCCATCCTGCTCTATCGGAAAAAACTGGACAGACAAGAAATCAAGCCAGTATGTATACCAGTTTAAATGGCTTTTGATCCTTTTCCAGCACAATCTGTGAGAAGCTTGCCAGTTTTCAGAATGGGAGAGAAGAGGAATGTCTTATTGTTCTGAATTTTTGTGGTCCAAGTCATCTTTGCTATCATTTGAATTTTATATGGGCAGAAACTACAAACTGTCAAAAATACAGAATGGTATGGATGCAGTACAGGATAATTGGGATAAAGGCCTGGAGGCCACTTGATACCAAGAGTGAGCCAGTGGGAGATTATAATGATGATATAAATTCTGTGTTGCACTAATTTCTAGGTAGCAAAGATAGGCAAATCCCATTTGAGTTTCTGTACTATGCAATGGCTGCATATTGTAGTAAACAAATACTGTGGAAACAATTAAGTAGGTTTTTTTGAGATCACTGAAGGGATGTGATTAATAGTATGGAACTACCAGTCTGAGAAATGTGAACTTTTGTTCCTACACAGCCATAAATAGCTTAAAAGAATGAATTAAGGGGTAATGCATGCTGCATGTGCACGTTTTGCATCTAGACCATCCTTGGAGAACTCTTTGGATTTCAGGTGCTAGCTAGCTTCAGTCTTCCCTCTTGAAGGGTGAGCTTTTGGTAGAAGGGGAAGAATAGGTATTTCTGGAATGTCCATGGAATATTCCATATGTAATTCAAGGAAAGACCATGAACAGGGAGATAAAAAAACTCAACACTGCATTAATGTGTTATAAATCTTACTATTTTGAAACCTTTGTTTAGCCAGATCTTGGGGGTTTTTCTTTACCTTTTAATTTTCTAGTTGTATACACAAAATTGGATTTTAATGTACATTTGCTTCACAGATTCTTCTGATGGGATCTACTGTTCCACTCTGCTCAGCTCAGTGGGAAAGGATGTTTAATACTTCCCGTATCCCAGGAGAGGAATCAGGTAAGCAAGGCAGCCAAGGAGAATAAACACCTTGATGGGATTCAGGGCTCGGTGTCTTTTCTACTAAAAATCTGATTTTCCAGATAAAGGTCTGACTGGCACAAGTGTACATCAATACTGTGTTCCAAGACTCAGGATGTAATGGATTGTAATGTAATGTAATGTAGAGTGCCTAGATACTTTTCGTTTTAGGGAGATTTTGAAGCTTTTTTAGTGGTTTTCCTCCTTTACTTAATTTAAAAAAACAACTTCAAGTTAGTATCTGCCCTGTTTTTTAATTTATAAATAACCTTTATTTTTCCAAGCTCAAAATTATTTTTAGGTCTTAATATTAAAAGTGGTATTTTTTTATTGCCTTTTTTATTTTTCCTAAGCTTTGTCACTGTAAATAGAGTCAGATTGCATCTGGAAGAACTTACTCTTTGTAATCAGCAGGTGGAAGAAAACATTGCTATTCATTTTCAGTTCTCTTTGAGAACTTCACTGCAGATTTTAGTGGAGATTTGTGCTGTTGTGGTTTTCTACAAGAGCTTAAGCTGTATCTAGGCTTCTCTGATCATGTCATACGCTGATGTCAGGCGTCTTAGAACTGATTTACGTGTTTACCCAACAGTCCATCATTGTGGCAGCATCACAGTGAAATACAAGCAGGAGTTATTGTTTAGTCACCTCCATTGGGAATGCACGTATGGGCTGCCAGTTGATGACAGGATGGTTTTTTTCCTTTCTACGAGGCCTGTAACTCACTCTAATGTTTCAAACTGCCTTCAAACTTGTTACTCCCACTGAGCTACAGGTTTCAAAACACAGAGTTTGTGAACAGACACAAGGATCTTGCCTGTTCTTCCCTGCTGGAGGGCTGGATTTGCTGTAAGGAGATGGATAAGGGGGAGAAGTGGCATTAGGTAGTGGATAAAGCAGTAGGTGCACGTGTTAGATAAAGACTTCACTCTCAGTTCTGCTGCTGGCCTTTGCTAGATTGTTGAGGAATTTTTTTCCAGCTGTGCCTCAGACGGCTTTATCTGTGAAGTGAAGGAAGGGACATCCCTGGTGTCATTACTTTGTGTCATAGCCAGTAGCTTAAATAGAAAAGCAGGTTTCTGAATCTCTATTGGACAACTTTAGTCTGTGAGCTACTATTATTGAGAATACTGCAATACTTCAATTACTGAGAGTCCAACCCTTGCCTCTTCCTTTGTTGTCAATAAAATAAAAGTTATAAACAGTTTTCAGTTAGCCTCGGATTTGGTTTTCTTTCAGTCTAAAATGAGTTTTCCCCAGAAGTGTAGAAGTGACTCATTCTAACTAGCACCTGTATACATCCTGTATATCTTAGTGGTTCTCCTCAGTTTCTCCTGTTTAAAGTCTTTCAAATTAAACTACAGTCAATATAATAGTTACTGCATTTTCCTCCTAAGCTCTTCACATTTCCTATTATGCTTTTTACATTTTTCTTTGTTGCTGTTTTTCTAAATGAAAAGCAATGGTATCACTCTGTATATGTCTAAGTGAGTTCCAAAAACATTTTTCACACATTCTTATGAGCAGCTTGACTCCTTGTCCCCTGATTTTAATTACTTTGTGTATATTACAGTTCCTAAAGAAAAAAAGGGAAAAAATTGTCTTCATATTAATTGGTGGTAAAATCTTGATGAGCATTGTATCCTGTCACTTGAGCAGTTGTTAAATAGTCATGATTGTTGAGAAGACATGCTATGGAGTGAACAGCTTTGCCTGTGGTTTGATACAGTGCTTTCATGACTAAATTTAGGCTTATCCCAGTTAAGCCATGTAGATAGCAAAATGAGGGAAAAAACGTGGCTTAGTTTTCTGCTTCACATAACATTATACATTTTGGCCATATATGGAATATTCACTCTGCGTCTGCCAGGAAAAATGTAAACAAAAGCTGATGGTATAAATCTGAGTTTCTTTAGATTCTCCATGAGTTGTCTAGCACCTGAATGCAAGTGATTTAAAAGTACCTTCCCTGATACTCATCTAGCATGTTCTTTGCTGACTGCTTCACCAAACTACACAACTAGTGCTCATTTTTCAGACACAGAAATACAGATTTAGTTGCTTAATAGTGGCCTCCAGTGCCACCAGTGAAACTGGTGGCGCTATATATGCAAATGATTGTCAGATCTGGATATTTGACTGTTTCATGTGGGAATCTTTATGATGAAATAACATGGGGTACTGAAATAACTCGTAGTGCATTCAACGGGCATCTGATGTTATTTAGTGCATTAGTGCTTTGTGACTTCAGCTTTGTGTTCACATAAGTGATTACAATTCTAGATACTCTCCAGCACGTGAAAGACAGCAAACACATCGTTGTGTATCACAAGGGCCGTTACTTCAAAGTGTGGCTGTACCATGATGGCAGATTGTTGAGACCCCGAGAAATTGAACAGCAAATACAGAGAATTCTTGATGATGATTCAGAACCTCAGCCTGGTGAAGAGAAGCTTGCGGCTCTTACTGCAGGAGATAGGTATGGTGGTTATTACTTTTTAAATAAGCTTAGTATTTAGAAATCATTGAATATTTGCTTTTGAATTTTCAAATAATCTGCAGTTGTTTATACCTTGGGCACTGATTTTGTATATGGATGATGTGTAACGGTGCTTCAGTTGCTTGTAATTGTGTGGAGTTAAAAAAATTTTGCAGTGGCAATCCTTTATGTTTTTATTATTACTTAGATAATTATTTTTACTGTTGTCTTCTTCCTTATAATAGATACTTCCTTTTGTTTTAAGTGTAGATGATCTATGCTGTAGGTATTGCACGTGCAGAAATGTTGAATGAGGATGAAGTTTTGCACATGTGTGTTGATGAGTTGGATTGGTTCCTAGGATTCCACTGTACAAGTATTCTCAGAACTTTCCACCGCTCTCATAGTTTAAATGCAAGGAAAGTAGTTGTGTCAAATTCCACAAAAGTAGGAGGAATGTCTCATAGTGATTTTAAAGGTAATCAAACCTTGACAAATTTATGTAATCTGGCTATAAACCAAATTTTCTTTTTTGCAGAGTACCATGGGCTAAGGCTCGTCAGGCTTATTTTAGCCATGGAAAGAACAAACAGTCCTTAGATGCTGTTGAAAAAGCAGCGTTTTTTGTGACGTTGGATGACGTCGAGCAGGGGTACAAGAAAGAAGACCCAGTGAGGTCACTGGATGCATATGCAAAATCATTGATACATGGCAGATGTTATGACAGGTGCAGTATTGACGCTGTGGAAAATGCCTTCCTTTTTTTTTAGAATTTGGCTAATACGTATGAATTAATGATGACTTCTAAATTTATAAATTCCACAGAATCACAGAAGGGTTTGGGTTAGAACGGACCTTCATCTCCAACCCCCTTTGCAGCAGAAAGGGACAACTTACACTACATCAGATTTCTCAAAGCCCAGTCCAACCTGACCTTGAACATTAGCAATGACAAGGCATCCACAATTTCTCTGGACAATCTGTTCCAGTGTCTCACCAGCCCACTGTAATAAATATTTCTCCATTATAACACATCTAAATTTACCCCCTTTCAGTTTATGTCTGTTGCCTTGTGTCCTGTCACTATGAGCCATGATAAAAAGTCTTTCTCAGCTTTTCTTATAAGCCCTTTTTATATATTGAAAGGCTGCAAGAAGGTGTTCCCAGAGCCTTCTCCAGACTGAACAGCAAGCCCAGCTCTCACCCTTTCTTCTGCACCTTGCCAGCTCATGATGACTTTTTCATCCCCAAATCCTTCTCTGCAAAGAAGATGAATCCATTCATCCATCAGTCTGTTGATACTGGGCATTGTCTTGACCCAGGTGCAGGGCCTTGTAGTTAGCCTTGTTGAACTTCATGAAGTTCAAGTTTTTGTCTGTTAATTTAAATGTTCTTAAATGAAAAAGTTCTAGTGCACTTGAACGTGAATTTTAGAGAGAGAGGAAGTTACAATACAAAAATGCTTTTGAAATGTACAAAACCATAAAGAAATCTCAATTTCTTTTGTAGGTGGTTTGATAAGACATTCACTCTTATAATATTCAGAAATGGCAAAATGGGTCTGAATGCAGAGCACTCCTGGGCAGATGCTCCTATTGTTGGACACCTGTGGGAGGTAGGTGTTTGGTACAAAGAGCTAATGCAGAAGATCATGTGATAGAATCTTGAAGCAGCCCTGAAGCTGCTACTTTCAGTTCCTTGCATTCACATTGCTGATGAGTGAGTAGGGGTCTGTATCTACAGCAGCTGTGGAATTTGAAAAAGATCCCAAACCCTTGCTTAAGAAGCTGCTGTTTTTTGAAACTCAGCATTTTTGTGAGGTTAGATGTCTTCACAGAGAAGTGATACAGCTCCCCATCTAACACTGTTATAATGTTTTAAATCCACAGATTCTTGCCTCTTTGCTATGGCATTGTATTTTTTGCATGTACATATTCCTAAAGCTCTTAAGCTTTCTTATGCTGTAAAACCCCATGCTTACTTTCAAAATTTGAAAAATTGTACACAGCTTAACTTTTCTAAGCATTGTTTGCTCAGATGCAGACTGACATGCTGTTGGTGTTATAGCTTGTATTTATTTGCAATGAATGCAGTAAATTCACTTTGCCATGTCTGTTCATCATGTGCTTAGTTTACTTCTTGAAATCTTAATTGATTTTTTTCCTTTTTTGTTTTGAAGCTTAAACCTACAAACAGTTACGTGACTCAAATCAATTAAAACTATTTCAAAAGCATTAGTTAATTTTGATTTTGTATGTATTTGTGTAAATGGTATTGAGTCTAATTGGTCCCCCCAAGTAATTTCTAAGTTTTATTATGGAAGTGTTTCCATGTGTATGAAAAAAAAAAAAAAGCCTCATTGCATTCTCCACTCAGGGAAGAAAGAAGGCCAAACTGATTTGAAAGTGACATGACAATGCAGTGTAGACTATCTCAATGACAGAGGGATGCTTTTTTTTGCTTTAATGAATTATATTATATGCTTAATTCATATATCTGTACTTGATATTAGTTGGTACATTTTCTGCTAAGAGTTAAGATGACTGAAACAAGATATAATTTTTTAGAAAGTTATCTGTTGTTAGCTCTTTACAGATTGTCTGTTTTTAGAATAGAATGGACTAAAGTTTATTTCATAGTTGTCATGTTCTGACCACTAAGTAAAATGAGAAAATGCAATTAAAATATGAGATTAGAAATAAATCATCAGGCTTTTTCTTTCCAAATTGAGCAAATTTAAATATTTTGATAATTCTTCATGTTTGTACGTGGGCTAGTTGTTGTGGATAATTCTTTTTAACATTGAGGATGGATGCTTCATATCCTGTAAGACTGTGCCTTTTAGGTCTGTTCAAGAAGTGTTGTTCATCTGGGAAACATTCTTCTTTCCCACCTAAGAGCTCTAGTGCACATGTAAAATAAGCTGCAATTTTTAAAGGGATACAAATCTTAAAAGTGATTGAGTTCTTGCAAGGATTTGCAAGATTTTTACTCTGAAATAAATTATTCCTTGATAAATAAGTTTTGACAAGTAACAAACTTGAAAAATTCTCTAGAATCTAAATTGAACAAAGATTGTGAAATCTAAGTTAAACGTAAGCTTAGTTTCTTACTTCTACTTAGTTTGAGGTGGGTTTTTTATTAAGTAGTATCTAACAAAATGCACCAGTGTAATTGAATAAGTGTTTGGTGCACATTCTTCTTGTAAAACTGGGGGCTTCACTTGCAGTTGTGTTTTGGAAATGGATTGTACATTTTATTTGGCTATGTAGTGAAAATAGGTTATATTTCTTTCACAATGAAATACTAATTCCGAGGCAGTATGTCATGTGTTGCAATTCTGAAGAAGTATCATTCTTTGCAGAATGTGATGGCAACTGAGTATCTTGAACTGGGCTATTCAGTAGATGGACATTGCAAAGGAGATACCAACCCAAATATTCCTATTCCTACCAAACTTCAATGGGAAATTCCAGAAGAAGTAAGTACATAAGATTTAGTGATATGAGGCAGAAACTTCTCTTTTCTCCAGTGGTCAAATAATTTATATAATTATTGATAACCCTATAAATCAGCTTTAAATTCCTCTGCGTCCTCTAGGTTGTGTACTTTATGTGTAGCCATTACTCAGTTTACTTAGAAAGTCAGGGGGTTTTAAAATCAATCTTTAAAAATTCTGACTGGGAAATGACAATATTTTACTAGAAGCTTTCTTGGTTGGCACTATATCAAAAACAAGTGGCCACCTCTTTTGAATAGTGGCTGTATTAAAATAAACTTTTACTTGCTGAGATTTCATTATTGTTGTCAAAACAAATACTCTTGTCTAATAGTTCCTTTAGAATAGCTTTTTTTTGTGTGTTCATAGCTCTGTATACGTGCCTAAAAAGATTTGATTTTCTAAGGTTTTTTTTTCCCCTCAGTTTCTAGAAAAACTGGCACCACCTTTTTAGAGTTTAAGTTTGAATAAAAAGCTGATGGGTGGTGATGTACTTAATTAAACATGTATGGGAGCATGGAAGCCACAGTATTATTGCCATTCAGTAACTGTAGGCCATTCTTTTATATTCACCTGATTTGAACAGTTTTAATGCTGGTGGGTTTTTTTAAAAGGGTTTTTTTCTGATGTGTACTGACTTAAAAGTGGGTTTTTTTAAAAGGGTTTTTTTCTGATGTGTACTGACTTAAAACGTTTTTATTAGCTTTTTGAATTTTAACTTTTGAGCAAAGATATCATCTTTCTCTAAAGAGAAATTATTTAGGTAGTGATGTTTCTGGCATGCATAAAGGCATTTCCTGTTTATCAGTTAAAAATACTTGCAGTTTTTCAATAGTTCTCTCAAATGCCATGAATGCATGTTTGTGTAATACAGGTGTTTGTTTGGTTTTTTGTTTTTTTAAGTGCCAAGAAGTGATTGAGAAATCTCTGAGCACTGCTGTAGCTCTAGCAGATGATGTGGACTTCCATTCATTTTATTTTGATACTTTTGGGAAAGGACTAATAAAGAAAGTGAAGACCAGCCCTGACGCCTTTGTGCAGCTCGCGCTGCAGCTTGCTCACTATCGGGTAAGAACAGACTGCTGCTGGCTTACAGAACCTCAGTAAGTTGGGTGTAATGGGTTTGTGGCTGAAACATGTGACTGTGTAATCATGCATTGCTTGTACAAGGTTGTTAAAGACATTTGATGCAAATTGATAGCAAACCCTAAGCAGATCACTAGCTGGAAATCAATTCTACAATGGTTCACATATTGATACATTTCTAAATCTTTTCTCTTCTGCTTAGTTGGTCTGTCCCTAAGCATTTTGTACTAGAAATAAGATAGGAAGCTTCTAGTAGCTGTGTTTATAATCTAAACAGTGTTAAACTTACCTTTTAGATTAGAGTCACGCATGATGCAGTAGTCATGGGTGATCCCTAAGAGGATTAATGTCTATTTGTATTTTCTTCTGTTAGCTCACCTTTCCTGTAATGTGCTGTCAGAAAAGACCAGTGTAGCAACATTCACCTTCTCTTATAAACTGAAGAAGACTGAATATGAAATGCAGAGAGTAGTCCTTGCTAGTCTGGTTGTTCTATTAGTGTTTATCAAATCCTGCTGCTAATCTTATTTTTGCCTTTATTATCTTCAGGTAAGTGGGCTAATGGCAGGCTACTGAAAACTTAAATGTTGAGTTTAATTTGTGGAGTGATTCATAGCCTGTGTGCTTAGGTTGGACTGTTGATTAAGAAAGAGGGGCCAAGTCTGTCTAAACCTTAAAGTTCTTATTTTTCCCTTTTTCAAGGATATGGGAAAGTTTTCTTTAACATATGAAGCGTCCATGACACGCTTGTTCCGAGAAGGCAGGACCGAAACGGTTCGTTCGTGCACTGTTGAGTCCTGTCGTTTTGTTCAAGCCATGGAAGACCCAACAGAAAGTGTAAGTTCATGGAGTTGGTGCCTTACACAATTGGGAAAGTAGGTTTGGATTGGGTATTAGGAATAAATTCTTCTTTGTGTGGGTGGTGGTGCACTGGAACAGGTTTCCCAGAGAAGTTGTGGATGCCCCGTCGCTGGCAGTGTTCAAAGCCAGGCCAAATGGAGCTCTGAGCAACCTGTTCTAGTAGATGTCCTTGCCCATGGCAGGGAGGTTGGAATAAGATGATCTAGAAGGTCCCTTCCAACCCAGCCAGCCTATGATTCACTCATAATTCATAAGGCACATGAGTTGCCACTAGACAACCATGTAAATCCCCAAATAATTTTTAAGTATTTAGAGTGATGCTTTTTTTTTTAAGGAAGGAAGAGCTGCATGAGGTAATTACCCACATCTTCTGTCAATAAAGCAGAAATTCTGGGCCATACCAAAAAAGAATGGCAGAACTTAACTAAATATACTCTTATTTGCCTGTTTATGAACTTCAGGAAACTGTGATTACTTGTGAAATTTTTGTGATTTGTAAAACTCGAGCGTAGATTTGTAGAACAACTAATTTCATACCAGTTAAGCTTTCCTTTCTGTCAGGGAAGCAAGAGTAATTCACAGGAAGGAAGTAGTTGGTCTTATATGTTGATTTTGATGACCAGCATTAATGGACCTCTGTACCTTTGGTGTTGGCAGTTTGTCTTCTAAAATAGCTCTGGCGGTTAGAGCTTTTTTTAAATCATGTTGAGGTTTGCTCCCTATAACTCTTCAAGACCAGTATCAATAGAAACTATAAATAATGTAGTAAACCTGAGTTGTAATTGTGTTTGATTGTAGGGTTAGATAACATTTAAAATACAAACTAGTTTTCATTTTGCAGTTTACAGCAGGTAATAGCTGACACTTGCTAATATCTAAAGTTAAATACCTGAGGTTGAAAAGCTGGAGGATACTATTTGAGGTCAGTTGTCTTGTACTTGACCTTTAAGTGCTCAAGGCTTGAGAGTCATTGCTGTAACTTAGTTTTTGCACCTCATCCTTAATGCAGTTCACTTAACTGAGTTTTCTTTATCTTTTTTTATTTGTTAGACTGAAAACACGCTGAAGTTCTTTCGGCAGGCAGCTGACAAACATCAGCACTTGTATCGCCTTGCCATGACTGGGGCTGGCATTGACCGCCACCTCTTCTGCCTTTATGTCGTGTCCAAGTACCTCGCTGTAGATTCTCCTTTCCTCAAGGAAGTAGGTGGCTTTTATTGATAACTCTACATTACCATAAGTAGTTCTTGGGTTAGTTAGTGTTTTGTGGTATCTGCTCTTGTACAACTCTGTTTTTTCCTAAGAAAAAAGGTAAAATTTCAGCTGGTTAAGATCTGCTGATAAATTGTTAAGTTAGTTTCATTTTCCTGTATGTATACATTTATTGATAGATCTAGAAGAATGCTTTCAGTGGACTTGTTAGCAAAATACTTGTTACTTAAAATTCCAAGAAATATATAGTCAGTATTGAAAACAAAACTTTTGCTGTGTGTTTTGCATATTTTCAAGGAAGTACAACAGAGGCTGTGTAATTTCTCTTTGAATTTTCTTGTGAAACTGGCCAATTCAATTACTTTTAAGTTACTAAGAGTTAAAGGAGCTGGATATGACATTAATATCGTTGTTTCTTACTTTGACAAATTACTAATTAAACTAGATTTTAAAGCTGGGTTTTATAAAAATAATTACGCTGCACCTGTTCATTTTTTCAGATTAATAAAAAAAATGTATTCCACCTTGCCTCAAAATTAAGCAACTCACATTTTTCTGCTTGCTTACCTAAATGTGGCTAAGTCAAGAATGAAACAACTTTCTACAGTCTCCACAAATTTTCAACATGTGTTGTTAGAGATTTTGCAAGTTTCTAACTTGATGAGGATCTTCCTGGGATTTGAATATGGCTAATAATGGTCTTGTTAAAACAAGACCTTTTCTGTATAAGTTATGTGGCTGTAGACCAGAGAATATTGTTTGAAGTAGCATTTCTATTGAAATTCTATTTTATTCTCTTTGAGGAATTAACATCACTTCCTCATATGTTAATGGTTTCCATATCAGGACGAGTTTAACTGTTTCATTTAAGCTTCTTAATTTTTCATTCCATTGAAATGGGAGTTATCCTTAATCTTGCTTTATAAAGTGTTTTCTAACAGTTTACAAAGCAATATTACACTTGTTATAGCACTTGGTATCTTGACTAGTTTTTGAGAAAGTTGCATGTTCTTAAACAGTGTTTTCTATTTGTTTGCATCTCTTTCATATCTAATAAAGGTTTTGTCAGAACCTTGGAGGCTGTCAACAAGTCAGACACCACAGCAGTACATTGATCTGAAGAAGAACCCAGAAATGTTAGCCTCTGGTGGAGGGTTTGGGCCGGTATGTTTCCTAAAAACAAGTACCCACTAAAAAGAGTTTTACTTTCAAGACACCTGTCAAAAAATTTCAAATCTATCATCCCTCATTGTTGCATATCAAAGGTGCAGTTCATGCTTTTAATTGCATGTGTTTAATATTAATACTTTCCTGTGATGTGGCTGTGCTCTGAAAAATCTACAAGATTATCCCACTACAAGAATAGATTATTATTATTATTATTAAGGAAATATACAGTTATAAAATGTGGTACAGGGCTACATGGCAAAAAGATCTGATGAAATTTGGGTTCTTATCACATTGCCTGTGCCCAGATCTTCTGTACATCAGGCTGATATTACAGTAACAGTCACCTTATTACTTAAACTAGATTTTAAGGTTGGGATTTGTAAAAGTATTTACACTTGACTTGTTCTTTATATTTCCTGCTTGACTGATAAATGTGTTCATACATTCCTCCAGATTAAGCTGCTC